ATAATATAAATGCCAATGGTCAAATATACTCAACTTGAATATAAAACAGATAAATAATTTTAGGTTTTCTTCATTGATAAACTGTGTTGTTATTAAGTTTGAATGATTTATTAAGATTTTTATCAATCTAATTCTGAATAGAAAGTGAATTATTAAACTGCCTCATGAATTTCAATGCTTCTTTAGAGATGTCTCTCATATGCATATAATTTTGTTATGATGGTATCATAAAATTCCTGGCTTGGCTAATACCAATATCAATTCTAATATTGCCAATTTATAGTCGAATATCGACAGCGGTCAAAGGATTTTTTTAACAGCAAAATATGAGTTTGAATGTCTACCAATATATTTATAAAACATATTTTATTAAATTAATATGGGTTCTCAATTTATTGCTATGAACCCAAATTCCTTAACAAGAATTAAATTAATGCATTATTTTTTATAGAATTACTTATTTAAATCAAATATTAATTTAAATAAAAGATTACTAATACATCTGTAACTGTATGAGAAAAAGTGTAAAGTGATAGGATTTATATTTTAAAAGGCATATGAAATTTCGATTGAGAAAATCTAATGTATAATCATTTGGGGCATTTTCAAAGATTTAAAGGGACTGCTAAAAATAGATATCATGCACTAATAATGAGGTGATTTTAATTTGAGGATATATTTAAGGGAAATAATATATACCGAGGTCATTTTTCTGTTGAGTTTGTAATTATTATTTTTGTATATTTAAAATATAAAATCTACCAATATATTAGATTTGTAAAAGTAAGAGAATGTCTTTCACCTCTTCTATTAAAATTAATTAAATTAATGAATTTAAAAGAAAAGAAAGTAATTAAGCTTTGATAAAATAAATAAGATACATCTTTCCAATAAAGCATCCATATCAGAGGGGTTTTAAGTTATTGATTCATTAGAATCTTACAAAGCCTCTTTTTCTTTTTCAATTTTTTCTATAGATTACCTACTTATTCTCATAAAATTGACCTCTTTTTATGTATGCAAGAAATTTTTGTTAATTATATGGAATTAGACTTATTAAAAAAACTACACTCATCAAGAGCCTCTTAATACTTTACCAAAAACTATAAAAGTTTAGCTAATAACTAGATATATAGAATATCTCTTTCAAAATAAAAATCTTCCTCACTTGGATCTAATATTGATTTTTTAAAGTCTGTCAAAGCATTTTTTATTTACCAATCTTGATTAATATTATACCAAAATTATTAATAATTTACAAAAACCTCTATAATAATATAACGTTGGTTCGTCTTTGATTTACTGATTGTAATTTTATAAAGCTTCATTCTAAGAACTTAAATTATACAAAGCAAATCCTAAATTATAAAAATAAAATACCCTTTCTATATTAGGCATCTGGATACTTGGAGATTTATTTAATTGCTAAAAAATCATCTTCAAAATCATCCACAGCTTCTTTGAATTAAGAAATAAATACTTTTTATAATAACCTTGCATCAACAGCTTTTTAATTTTATATGATGGCAGTATTAATAATTTCTAAGCTTAATTTAAATTATTATTTGTTCTACAAAATACCTTACTTAATTAAATTAGAGAAGTAAAATTGTTTTAGTTTATTTACATTTAATAAACGAAATATGTCTATAAGTATAGAAGATGATAGTAGATTAGAATTAGTGGCCTTTGGGAATTCAATTCTTATGAGAAAAAAGAGACTTTTTATCTTAATTAGTATTTTTGTTATGGAGAAAATATTTCTTACCACCATTCTATCAGATAGAATTTATCTAAAAATTATGGATTACCTAAGAAATTAGTGAATAGGATTATAGCCGTCATGATAAATTGACACAATAAGCAAGAGAGATTTTTAAGAATGGATTATTGGTTTTTAATTAGATTCAATTCAAGATTCCTTATGTAGATAATAGAATAATTTAGCATAGAAGCTCACTTACTGTTAGAGGTGTTAGTTGTTAGAAAGATTTATTCCTGTTTAGATATTCGAAGAATTCAATAGAGAATATAAATAATATCCTCCATAATATCTATTTTTTAAGGATTATTAGATCAATTAGAAGTCTTATATATAATTAAAAAAACGAAATCAAATTTTAATTCTATTTTAAGCTATGAAAAAATAAAAAGTTTTGTTATTTAATCTTAAAAGCAATCAATCAATCTATGGTTCTTTTTAATTTTCTAAGATGATTTAATAAAGGATCTTTCACCATTAAGTTCATTTTCTAAAATAATTTTAATTCTGAGATCTTTAGATGAGGCTCCTCAAAAAATATATCAATGCATTTAAACTTTAATTTTCATCTATAGAGTAATATCATAAGTAACTTAAAAATCTTAGAAATTTTCTAAAATTATAAAATTAAAATCAGGTTATAGTTTTAAATTCTTAAGTTCAATTTATATTTTGACATGTTAAGAAGTTTTTAATGTTGTCAAATGTGATTTTTTTAAGTGATTATGCAATACAAAAATGATTAGAGTGCATAAGATATAGACTCATATTTAATTGATTGATTGGATTTATGTTTAAATTACATTTGGCATTTTTTAGGTGGTCAGGGATAAGATGAGATTATTTATAGGTCTTGAAACACCTCAAATAGGATTATTTTTAAAATAAAAAAAATTGATAAAAATTGGTTTTGAATTCTTTCTTTTCTAGTTATAATATGGCTAATTATAATTAAAAAGATGGCTCAATTTCTTAAGATACCTACTTTTATTATTTTCAACAGCCTAAATGTTTAAAATGGTTTGAAAAGGGTGTTATTGTTAGTTAGATGCAGGATGATTTTGTGCGGTTTGAAATAGCATGACTTGAAAAATTCAATAGAGTTCATAAGATAAGTGCTTGAAAATATTAAACTAGTAGAATGCAAATATTGATATTAATTTTGCATAAACAGAGAATGTGAAGAATTGGGACAATTTTTTTGAAAGAACTGCTCTATTAATTTAATTGAAAATATAACTATGATTACAATGATTATAATATTAAAGTAATTTATTAGAGTAATGAAAATATTAATATTATCAATAAATAGGAAATTGCATTCGCTCTAAAAAGAATACTGTAATGATAGCAATTTATTAAGCAAAATATATTCAATTGAATTAATAATTTCAACAATATTGTGAACTAAGTAGTGAGTATGAATATAAAGCTATTACAGTTCCTTATGGAAGCCATGGAATTATAAGGAAAAACTTTTTTTGGAATTTGTAATAATCATTAACCTAGTAGTGGAGTTACTAGTGAAAAGTGTATAAGCTTCAGTTCCACATTTAAAAAACTTAGAAAAAATTTGAATTATTTCCTTTATCAGCTTGCAGAATTAAAGATATGCAAAATCAAATGAAGATTTAGCTTAATTATACTAAACATATGCCAATATTCTCAGAATAAAAAAGCTATATTGTAAGTTGAGGATAGCAAATTAATATAAAGATAAGTATAGTTAGGTAGAAAAGCATTTACAGTTAACTCCAACCAAAAATTCATTTGACCTTCCCTTTTACTACATTCTGGAAACTGTCCAGACAATGCATACTAATGTACCCAGTTAATCATAGATGGAATTGATAGATGCAGTACAGCACATTTAAGAATCAACTCTAAGTTTTTTTCAATAATTATGATTAGAGACAACTTTTGCAGTAATTTCCTTGTATTAATTTAAAATTGATGCATTTTATAGTAATTAAAATAATTAATTATTAAAAAGTCTAATTTATAAACATAAAAATGTATTAAATTAATTTTCTTCATTAATAAAAATAAATGATATTGCTAACTCCACAAATTAGAAATCGTTATAGTAGATTTAAAATCATCAACAAAGCAAGAAGATAAGTATTTTTGTGCAAAGTGTCTATACTAAAAGATAGATAATTAAAATTTGCATTGCTTACCGAGACTATTGACATGATTTAAGATATGAAAACCTAAACCTTGAGAGTCAACAAAGAGGAAAATCAGATTAGACTTAATAATATGAAACAATTATAATCATCGGTATTAGAATTCAAAGAGTTAATCAAGAGTGTTTTATCTAAAATATTAAATAATATTGACTAATAGATAAATCAGATTGAAAAAGAAATTGACTTAAAGGAATTTAAACCAGAAATAAAGAATTTAGAAGAAGATGTTGAAATTCTATCAAATAATTATAAAGGTAATTACAATTATGTTATACCTGTTTAATAATCTAGTTTAGAAAATGATATCAAGTTTGTAGATTCTCTGCATTAAATTTTAAATTCAATATAGAATTCTTAACAGTATATTTAGATAATAGGTTCAATAGAATGTATTAAATCAAAAAAAAAAAACTAAGAAGTAACAAAAGTAAATTAAACTTCTTTGAGAGTATTTGATTAACACGTATTATCTCAAAATATTATAGAAAGCTCCTATTTCGTATAAATAATGCAATAAGCATAATAAGAGGATTATGATGGTAAACATTAATTTAGATGATTAAGAATTAAGCAAATTTGCTTGCATTGATTGTATTTAAGAATTTCCGCTATAATATATAACACTAGAGGAAGCAAGCAAGAGATGGAATTTATTAAAAGGATAATAAGAAGATCTGAATAATCTATATAATTTAAAAAGAAAAAACCAATATAATCATTCTGTGTAGATCATTAAGAAATTAAAAGATAATTACAATCAAACTCTTAATGAAATACTTATTTCATTGGATAAATAGCTAGAGAATAGGAATGATGATATCTTTTCAAGTAATAAATTCAACAATAAAGAATTATTGTAAATGGATGAAAAATAATTCCAACAGATAATCAAATTATTAAGTTCTAAAGATTAAATAAAACATATTAAAGAGTAATAAAATGCCTAGGACGTCTTCTAATTGCCACTGTATGAGTCACAAAAGATATCAAACAGCGGAATGGCTTTTTAAGAAGATTAAAAAATAAATAATTATTTAAACTTAATCAGTCATTAACAGAAATATGCGTCATAATTAAAATAAAAATTAATAGTAAGGATAGTGATTTCATTCAAATCAACTACAGAAATAAAAGAAGATGGTAACACCCACCATATAGATTTATATAGTTATTCCTATAAGATATATGAGTAATTAATTGAATAGCTTGTAATAGAACCGAAATGTATAAACCAAATACAGCAAAGATAGATTTTCTATATATCGGGTTCTGAAGCTCCATAGATAAATTAATGAACCAGGATGGAAAATTAATTATAAGGGATGAAGATAGAAGAATTGAAATACCACTATAATTATCAAATTATTAATAATAGAAGGAGTAAACTGACCTAATCAGATAGGCAATAAAATTGTTCAATTAATAATGATTTCTAACAGAATAGTGAAAATTTAACAATTAATAGGCAAAATATATATTATAAAAATACTTAATCTCATTAATAGAAGCCTCAATCCTCTATAATAAGAAAATATAAAATAGCATAATTAATTATTGCACTTGATATTGTATAGATAGACACTTTACCTAAGCCTCATATAGAACACATGTGGGAGCAACATGGAAGATGAGAAGGAATATAGTATATTGGCAAAAAAGGATAATGATAGGATATTGATGTCCTCAGAGATGATATTTTACAAAATGTTTACTTAAACAAGAAATTAGGATCTAAGGTAAAGCAAATGTCACTCCTTAATTCTTTTTATCATTTAAAAAAATATGGATTTGAATGGAAGAAATTGCATCAGAGGATAAAGAAAAAATATTTTGGAAAGGGATGCAACTTTTTAATACTCTAATATTATGATTTTCTATGAAATTAATGAAAGAGAAACTATAATAATGAATGCATTTAATATTAAATTTATTAGGACCATAAAGGGAAAAAATTATCAGACTTAAAAGAAAAGATATTAACCTTTATCAAGAAGATTAGAATTATACCAAGAAGGTAAGATCAATCATTTAACGAGGGAGCAAAACAGATCAAAATTTGTGTTTTGGCTTTGAGAAATCACAAAATCTCCAGAATACTTAAATAATAGATAAAATTACTTCAGTAGATGAATAATTTGAAGCATTGATTATGCCAATGCAAGAATAAAGTTAAATAGAATAAGAGAAATAAAATAAAAATAGTAATAAATATAATAATAGGAGAATTGAAAATTCAGGTTCATTTATTAAAGTTATTATTATTTTATAAATATATCCTCCTTAAACTATATTAGTAAATAATCGTTTTTGATTTATCATCCCATTAAGAGACTGTTGAATAGCAAGCTTGAATTTTTGAAATATAATAATAAGCATACTTATTCTCATAATAAAAAAAATTTAATTTATTTATTTAATATTATCCTCTGTTGTTAGTTGACAATATAATATAGCATGTTAGTATATGCATTCTACGATTGAATTTACTTAATCATAAAGTGAAAGAAAGCTCTTAAAATAGAATTTATCTTATTTTAAAATCATTACTCTCTTTTATTGAGGTAGAGGTGTTTCACATATCAAACAAAGCTTTTAATCTGGTAATTAACTTTTGGATTAAAACTAGGGTTCCAACTTTCGGCAAGGCCGATCTGATCAATTAATGATTCTATACATTTATTTATAATTGAAGAATTATCTACTTTCAGAATAATTATGATGACTCATTTTTTGTTCCTTAATTATCTTGGATATTTGATGAATTTCTAGTTTTATTTCTAAGAGGATTTTCCATATCATGATTTCTAAAAATATAATCAATTTGTAATCTTGATTATAAAAAATTAATCTTCTATCTTATTTTCATTTTTCTTTTTAAAGACGAAGAAATAGAATTGCAATGTCTTTATCTTTCTTTAATGTTTAAATCAGAAGATGATTTTATTTTTTTCTTAAAGAAGCTTTTATTTTCTGAATAGTTTAAATTATGATTCAAATTTAATTTGTATTACTAAAGAAGTATTTTATTTTAGGTCAATTTCTTTCTTAATATTAATTTATATTCATTCCTTTATAGAAACAAATAGGGACCAATGGGTTTTTATTTCTTTATTAATTTTATTTCTCCGTCTTCAAATTACATCTAATTCTACAAATTTCCTTCTGTTTGTAGAGAGTTTTAAATTATTAGTATTCCAATTATCAATAGGTAATTAGAACATTACTACTGAGGTATGTTTTACTGTGTTTATTAAAAATGTCAATATAAATCTTGAACTACTATAATATTAGCTGAACTCTCTAATAGAATGGAAGCTATAGGTTTCAAGATAAATTATTGATATAATCTGTAATTGAAAAAGTTAAAGAATTTTTGATTTTATTAAATTTTAATCTGACTTAATTCAATAGTGTGAAATACTTAAACTTAATTTTCCTATGCGTATTTTCATGATGACATTTTTTTAAACGTATTAGTTAATAATATTTGAAAATATCTATAAATAAGAATAAGATAACTTGAAATCTCTTATTGAAATCTTATTTCAATAATTTTCACTCCTTATAAATAAAGTAATAAAATTGTATAAAAATAATTAAGAATTTCTTGGATTATTGAAGATCAGCAATCTATCTTATTTGAACATTTATATTTTTTATAAGGCTTAACCAAATATAGTCGAAATTTACATTAAATTAATTGCAATTTATTGTTATTTAAACGAGCTTTCTAAATAACACTTTTTACTAGGAGTCAAAGAATAGATAGATTTTTTGGTAAAATTAATCATCTTGAATTTTGAAAGTATATGGTTTCGGATTTTGATAATAACCTCACAAAAAGTAAAGTATAGAAGGATTAGTTGAACAATGCCTTAATACCAACATAATTTCTTATTTTTCTAATGTTGAAGTATGTTATTCAATTAGATATTCATTTTTCTATTTTCAGATAATTTTAGATGAATTTTTTTTTTAAAACAAGGAACCTTCAAATTTTTCTTCATAACCTCTTTTTTAAAAAATCTTATACATAATTCAATATCTTTGCATCAAAGAAATTTAGGTAGTCATCAGCTTATATATGTTAAGTTTTTATTTTATCAATTTATTCAGGATTGACATTAGAAAATTTTCTGAATAATTAATTATACTTAAATAAGATTTGGCAAGATCTTCTGCTTTAATCAATTCCTTTAAAAAATCCATTATCGTTGCTCTTATAGAAAGATTAATGATTAAGAAAAAAAATGCTAACACTTTATTTATGGATTATTTTTCATATATCCTATTAAACAGCACGGATTTCTTATAAATATTGATGAATTTAGATTTTGAAAATATTAGAGTTTAAGATGAAAGCTGCTTCTATAGAGGAATTTTACTAGAAGACAACCATATGCATAAAGGATAAGAGTTTATGGCTTTAGAAATTTCTAAAAGTCTTCTTTTGAAATAGTTATTCTTTGTTTTCTTCAGTGATCTCATTAAATCATAAAAAATGTTATAGAGATATTAAATGCTACTATTATGAATTTTAAAACTTAGAATTGAAGATATTTCTTAATAAATTTGTCATTTTCATATATTTTAGTATTGAAACCTAATGAGCCAGATTAGGTAAATTAATAAAATAAAGTTTCAACAATTTAATATATATAATATCTTTGTTATTCGTAACCATTTAAAATTTTGTCTATTACCAATATTATACTTAAATCCAAAATTAATAATAATAATTAATGAGAAAATTATTCTATATAACAAGTGCTGCAAAATGGCAATCATTTTGATAATGTAGTTAGATTAAAAAATTCAACTACAGTACTTCTTATATTAAATACTTAAGAATTATTAATAAATATTACAATATTTATATATATTATATATATAGATAAAATACTTCATCATTAAACTGGTATATTATCCAATATTTTTATTTTAGAATTATGAGCAACACCTACACATGGATATAATTGTTATGATGTATCTATATCCAACTACTAATAATCGATTTTATATTTACAACAAATGTTAATTATGCATTATTCTATTTATTCCATTTAATGTATTTATGTTCAATACATACTTCAATTATTATTATATCATTAGTTGTAAATGAAAAGGATAATTATTCATTATGTACATCTTTGTTATGATGAGAAAAAGAATATCTATCGTTGTCTATTAAATATGTTCTATTATAATTTAATTATATACCATACCCAGTTTCATAACAATCGCTATAATTATTTGTCTACATAATCTCTTTAAATCCTATTCCAACCATACATGATCCACTTATCATTTAAAATGCAAACTATATTTTGCCAGTCTTTGGAATTGCTTATTCACAAAGACAATAATACCATCCATTATTACTAACTTCTGCTACAACTTTTCCTGCTTCAGTTATTGAACAATTACTGTTCTTATAAGTATTTGAAAATGATAATGATTTATTATATGATTGAATCTAAAAATAATATAATAAATATATTAAAAATATACTTTTTCTAATTCTAGTTTATTTTATTTTTCTTATTCTAATTTAACTTTATCAATTTAATCAAGTTTGATTAATGCTTGTTATAATTATGATTTTTATTAACTTAAATTTTCATCAAATTCCTATTTTACTTTATTTTCTATAGAATAATATCGAAATTCTATTACATTCATCTTCGCATTTCTTTATAATTGCAGTCTTATCTTATTCATATTAATTTTTAAGATTTATATTATCTTAAAGTGCTTATTAATATTATTCTTTCAAATTTTACAATTCTTTTTCATTTTACTTTATAGTCGCAATTAATTTAGCACTCAATTATTTTTATTCTATTGATAATACTTTTCAAAAGTTACATTTATATCATCGCTCCAAAATAAATAAAAGTGTAGACCAAAAGTAATTCAGTCAATAAGAGATGATCAAAACAAATTTAAGATTTAGTCAATTAAGAATTGAAATCACTTAATGAAATATTTTTGAGTTTCATTAAAAAAAAAAATTTGATTATGGATGATGAAATAAATCCTTAATATGTTTGGTCTTATTAGAAGGAAATGAAAATAATACTTAAAGTATGGGCGTAAAATGAGCATAAATAAGAAGGAGATCTACATTTCATAATAAAAGAGGAGATTTATTAATAATTAAGGTAATTTTTAGTGATTTCTTTCATTTATTGACATCAAGTTTGCTTCAACAGGATTTAAAGTATGATACGCCAAAGTTTCTCTTAATAAAATTTAGACATCCATGTAAGCCTATGACTAGTAAATTTGGGAGAAATACTACCAAAAAAATAATAAAAAAAAGGCTATCAATTATGAGGTTTTTACTCTTTCCTGCATAAAAGATTATATCCTCATTCAGAAATTAATAGAAATATTAATCAAATAAGAACTATATGATAAATATACTTTAAGAATTAACTACAATAAATAATCTTTATATCAAAAACTTTGAAGACTCTTTAAACATGTTGATTGAGAATGAAAGGATAGTGCATCTTATCATGAGCATTGCAGGTGTTTAAAAATTGAAACAGTTCCTCCTTCATCTCTCCATTATATTTAAGAAAAATTATCTAATCAACTTAATAAATAACTAATTATGATTATTTTAAAAATATCATTAATAATAAACTCTATAAATAAGAAAGTAAAAAGGATTATTTTTAAGAGAGAAGAAATAGTGCCTTAGATAGACACGAACATTATAGTAGACCTATAGAAAAAGGCTTATAAAATTAAACTATAAATTCGATATAAGACTTTTATTTCTAAAAATCCTTAAATTATGATAATTTCTGCAATAATAAATCCAAAAAATATAGGTCAATATTACAAAAATTTTAAAAATGAAACAAAGTCACATATATAATATCTATATTATTTAAAATTCATTGAGTAAATCACTTCAATGAGTAGGTATTTTATTTGGTAATCTGTCTCTTATACTTGAAGCTCTTCCAAATGTAATAACTATTGAAATTTATATGCAAAACAAATCTTCTTCTTTCAAATTCAATTAATAAAATAAAATTCATTACCTCTTTAATATTTTAAGAATGAATAAACTATAAAGAAAGAAAATAATTTAAATTTAAAGAGTTTCTTGAAGTTTCAAGAAAATTTATCATGGTAAAAAGTCATTTAGCAATCCCTCTACTATTTTATGGCAAGCGGAGTTCATAATACTTTATTTCAAATATGTAACTTAACTAAGCTTTACCATATTTATCTTACTACTTGAAATTAATATTCCAAATCATTTAACTATTCCTTTAGTTTTTTACTTTAGAAATCCTTATCTACTTCAAAGGATCGAATCAACCTTAACATCACTTCATTTTTTGAAACTTGTAAAATATCTCCCCTATTAGAGTTGATTCTACTATTTGTGTTTTCTACACTATTTCAATCTTACTGTTGCAAGTAATACATTATTTGAGACTGCTATATTCTTCTATGTACATCTTCATTCCTATCTAATATAAAAACAATTATCTTAAGTTAATTACTCATGTATCACGAGATAAAATCGCGTTCCCCTAAAAATTATGGAGACATCGAATTATTGTAAAACTAGGGTAAGGCCTAAAAAAACTCACTTTATCAACCTCTTTTTCTATCAAATTGTTTACTTTGCTCTTATCTTTGATACTGATACTATTATCTTACTACCTTTTTAATAGGTTTTAATATAGAAATCCTACAGTCGTCTGTTAATTGTGTCTTCTCTATACCCAGCATCTATGAATAAATAAAGCAGCGAACTCCTTAGCACTCTTAATCTTCCATCTTCTTACCTATATTTTATATGCATATCATTTCAAATTCTCGCTCACTAATATAATTTTCTATGGGTCTTCTATTTCTACCCTATCTAATAATTTCATGTATAATTTATAAGATAGAATGAAACAAATTTGTCTCTTATTTTTTTTATTGTTCCCATCGACTCCTATCTACTTAGATTTGAACCCATTATATCTGTGTAATATAATCTGACAAAACTCTATATCAAAAGTAAAATCTGTTTGGAAAAAAATTACAAAAATATTTCCACCTGATAGGAAGCCTTTAGAATTTTTCTTTACCGTATTTTTCAGCTTATCTAAATTGTCATTTCAATCTTGATAAGTAATCTCTAACCGAAATTGCCTCCTTTTTGGAACATTAATATGCCAAGAAATAAAGCAAATAAAAATAATTTTGATTAAAAATTTTTCATTAGAATAATACTTTATCATGTTTGGTTTCACATGAATTCTTCCAATAATAATATTAAATCATGTCTCATATTTTTTATTCCTATGTAACAATGGTCTCATCTCTTTTATTGTGTTTATCTTGATATTCTTCCACATGTGCAACAACCCAAGCTAACTATATTCTCAGGGTTGTCCATTTTCACAAGTATGATGCCTTTACTCTCTTATCCATATCTTGTTCCTTTCACTGCCATTTTGGATCAAAGCCTACTTCTAAAGTTTCCTGTGACAGTTCTGCCTGATTGAATTACTTTCCAATACGCCATAATTTCTCCTTTTCTAGTTTTCGTTATCATCCCTCATAGTATCATAATAAAACTATAATTCCTCAACCAAACTCTCTATTAATTTCACAAAGGGTCTTTGCTTCTACCTCTGATCCTCCTTTGTATTTGAATTCTCTTTAGTTAGTACTTAAGAATATGATATTATATAGCTATCATAATTCTCTCTCATCCTGTTTTTACCCTTTCTTATAATTTCTTTACTTAATCTTAACTTGTGCTGTATTGTTGCATATGGCGCAAGCAAGATATTTATATTTTAGCCATGTTCTATTGTCTAACTCTAGTCTCTAATAGTTTGAGATTCTATTATGTCTATCACCAAGAAAAAAAAGATTAAATGACCTCCTTGGACCACCTTCTCGATCTGTAGTGATCAAAGTTCAAACATCAAATACATTGGAAGAGGGTTCTCTGTTATTTTGGCTTCCATTTTAATGAAAGAAAGTTTTACACTTTTGGAGTAAACAGGGGCTAAAATTTAAAATTAAAAAATTTTTTTCTACACCAATTAAAAATTGTAAGACTTAAAAAAAATTTCAGCTATAACCTTTCATTTAAATCATTGAATTTTTACTTAAATGATTCTTCCATAGAATTGATTTAATTATTTTCTATTTAAATTATATTGAATTACTTTAAATTTCTAAATTTTTATTAGTTTCTGTTTAATTTAATATTTCCAATTCCATTTACTAAATGTTACAAAACTTTTTAAACTCTGTACTATTTTTATCAAATATCTTCTTGTATTCATTCAAAATATTTGATAATTTAGAGTATTAGGACTTCAATTATTCAGATTTAACTGCTTAGTCTTTGGATTTAATCTATATGTTTTCTTAAATGTAATCTATCTTTTAAATATGCTATTGATAAACAGTAATAGCCTAATCAAATAGATGCAATTGACACTGATATTTTTTAGCTTAATCTATTAATTCTTAAATTTCTTTGATAAAATTAATTTGATTTTTATAGTTTTCATCCTTTTGTCCGCATTTTTAGATTTTTTAGATCATATCAGTTAATTAACAAATTAAATTTTTTTCCACTACAACCAAATAAATAAATTGATACTTGAAATATCCTTGAGAATGTCCAATGACTATTAAATATCTTATTAATCATATTATTATAAAGATTCTAATTGAGATTCTATTTCCTTTTTAAATATAGAGTCTTTATTTTTTAAAGTTGTTATTATTTAACTTTATGAAACTTTTTCTTTTTCTTTTTCAATTAATTACTTTAAATCCTTTAATAATTATTCATCGCTTAATGTTTATATTGATATTGTCTTTATTTAATTTGATTAGTTAACATTATCAGTACATAAGAATGATTCTTCAATCAATTTATCACTAATTTCATTCAATTTCTTATTATAATTCTTTCTCATTTGTGCTATTTAGTTAAATAATTCAGATTTCTTGTCTCTACTTTCTTTTTTATACTCCTTTAGTAGCTTATCAGTTTATGTGTTATATTCCTTCCATTCTTTATCTATATCTTCAATTGTCTAATATTTAATTTAAGGATTCTAAGAAATACAATCAACACATACAAATCTATCTTCTATCTTCTTATTCTAAGAATCCATATCAATCATAATAATTTCCTTTTTATGATTAATACAAATTCTATTTAAACTAGGTGTTTTCTATTAATAATTAATTGAAAATACCGGATCATTTTTTTTGATATTCACAAAGGGAAATAATTCAATAACATTATTTTACATAATATCTTTTATAGTTTCTTTTGTATTCTTAAAAGTATCTAAAGTCTAAAAGTACTCAGAACAGTTGAACAATAGTTCAAATTGTCTTGAAATTTCATCGATAAAATTATTGTCTTCTTATAATTTAGTTGATTTTTATTCATCTTAGGAATATAATTCTGATAATTATTTTAAATCTTCAAAATAATTTAATTATTATTCATATTCTATTAATTCCTATTTTTCTTTTTATATTGGAAATATGTATTATTAAATCTATCGATACATTTTATCTAATGAATCATCTACAAATCTTTTGAAATCCATGATTTGATCTAATATATTTTTATAATAAGTGAGTCTTGCTTGATTCTCTTTTGTTTTAACATCTTTTTACTAAATTTTAACTTTTTAGATTGTCTCTTTTGATTGCTCTATAGTGGCCACTTTATTGTTATTTAATTTCTCCGCTAAGCATTTACCACAAAAGAATTAAATTTGTGCCTTGTCTGATAAATCCAAATTGACTGCTATGAATTCTAGATTATGAATTTTGCATGTTGTTTCTTAAGTTTCTTGTACTTATTTTTGATTTAAAATATTCATAATTGTTATTTAAATTAATTAATGTAATTATCTATCTTTTAATCACCTTTTATATTTCAAAATCACAATTAAAAGCTAATATTAAAATATAACAATTATAATATATATAATATGTGTGAAAAAAGATCAGATAATAATTAGAGAAAAAAGGAATTACACTAGCAAAAGGAAAAAGAATTCATTAAAAAGTCGTCTATGCCCTATTAATTGAGATTAGTACATTTAGCAAATATTGAATTTTTTTTCTTCCTTTATTTTTCATTATTTTATTCAACTTTATCTTCTCCAAAAATACTGTTTAGCAAAAAAACAAAATAATCTTTTTGAAATATATTAAGTCAGCAACATTGCTGGGTATATTCTATTTTATTATTAATCGATTCTAGTTCATTCAGCCTCTTTACTTTAAAATACTATCAGCCAATGATTTGAATTTGTAATGACTTGACTGAGCTGTTCATAATTGTTTTCTTTCAATAAGAATTGATTGTTATCAAATCTTTCAACTTTCAAAGTTCTTTCAAATATTTTTTTATTTATATTATAGGCTAACTGCAATTCTTTAAAATGGAACAAGATCCAAATTTCCTATAAAATAGTATTCGATTTTATTATTGATTGTTGATATTTTACAAGACAAGAAAATATTATAATATTATTATCATTAGTTCATAATTACTTAAAGTTTATTAAATTAAACAATATTCTAAAATTGTTTTCATCTATTTGAAATATTTTAATAATAATTTCTAGTTAATTCAAATTATTCATTTATTTATTTAACTATGCTTTGAAAATAAACTTGATTGTAGATTCTCTCATCATCATAGTTATAATATGATGAATATTTTTTCAAAACGTTTTAATTTGTTTCCAGCTACTATCTTTAAAAGTATTTTAACATCCTTAGAGATTATTTTTATATTAATCTATGAGGAAGAATGTTTAAAAATATAAAAAATAATATATTTATGTTTTGTTCATGAAAATCATTAAAAGAATTTAAACTATTAACATATACATAGTTTTATAGTGTTTCACATAGTTTCTTTTAATAATAAACAAATTTTTTAACTATCTAATCTTAGTTATGAAAAGAGTCAGATCCTTCATGCTTCAATTATCAATATAGATTGGGGTGAGTTTAAGGATAAAAAGAAAATTTTTAAATAGTAAACAAAATTGCTGAATCCTGAATTCGATTAAGAACTCTACAATTAATTGATCAGATATAAGATGAAAACAGACTTTTATAACATATTTTTATAATAAAATTAATAATAAAATTTGGGAAATTTCGAATTTCCTGTTGTTTACTGTANTTGAGATTAGTACATTTAGCAAATATTGAATTTTTTTTCTTCCTTTATTTTTCATTATTTTATTCAACTTTATCTTCTCCAAAAATACTGTTTAGCAAAAAAACAAAATAATCTTTTTGAAATATATTAAGTCAGCAACATTGCTGGGTATATTCTATTTTATTATTAATCGATTCTAGTTCATTCAGCCTCTTTACTTTAAAATACTATCAGCCAATGATTTGAATTTGTAATGACTTGACTGAGCTGTTCATAATTGTTTTCTTTCAATAAGAATTGATTGTTATCAAATCTTTCAACTTTCAAAGTTCTTTCAAATATTTTTTTATTTATATTATAGGCTAACTGCAATTCTTTAAAATGGAACAAGATCCAAATTTCCTATAAAATAGTATTCGATTTTATTATTGATTGTTGATATTTTACAAGACAAGAAAATATTATAATATTATTATCATTAGTTCATAATTACTTAAAGTTTATTAAATTAAACAATATTCTAAAATTGTTTTCATCTATTTGAAATATTTTAATAATAATTTCTAGTTAATTCAAATTATTCATTTATTTATTTAACTATGCTTTGAAAATAAACTTGATTGTAGATTCTCTCATCATCATAGTTATAATATGATGAATATTTTTTCAAAACGTTTTAATTTGTTTCCAGCTACTATCTTTAAAAGTATTTTAACATCCTTAGAGATTATTTTTATATTAATCTATGAGGAAGAATGTTTAAAAATATAAAAAATAATATATTTATGTTTTGTTCATGAAAATCATTAAAAGAATTTAAACTATTAACATATACATAGTTTTATAGTGTTTCACATAGTTTCTTTTAATAATAAACAAATTTTTTAACTATCTAATCTTAGTTATGAAAAGAGTCAGATCCTTCATGCTTCAATTATCAATATAGATTGGGGTGAGTTTAAGGATAAAAAGAAAATTTTTAAATAGTAAACAAAATTGCTGAATCCTGAATTCGATTAAGAACTCTACAATTAATTGATCAGATATAAGATGAAAACAGACTTTTATAACATATTTTTATAATAAAATTAATAATAAAATTTGGGAAATTTCGAATTTCCTGTTGTTTACTGTATAATAAAATTCTTAATCTAAAATTTTTGAAATTTTAAAAATTGTATATTTTATGTGGGCATAACAACACTGAGATAGTTAAGCATATTAAAATAGAATAAATTTGATATATATGAATAAAATTTAATTGATCTTTAATTTCTTGCCTAAAATCTATTTATTAAAATACAAAATCTTTTTGAGATATTTCTTTTATGAATCTTAATTCAATTCACTATCTATTTGCCAATTCTTCAAATTTAATGAAATTTTCTTATTTATCAGGCACAATTTGTTCTAATTTAAATAAACTAATTTCCTAAAAAGAAACGAAGGAGATATGAATTGACAAGCTTCTGAAATTAATTAATAATATAAATTCGAAATATCATATAAATTTCAATTCAAATATTTCACATTCCGTTACATTTGGCTTGGCTTATCCAAATAAATGATTCGATTACTTATTTTCATATTTATCCCATTAATATGAAAGACCTAAATTAGAAGAACCCTCTTTAAACTATGTCCCAACCACCTCCATACATAGGTCCATTACTAGATACACATTTAATAGCATATTATTTTAAATCTTATTTGAAAGGATAGATTTAATCATGCGTTTATGAAAACAGAAATATGATAAAATATCATCTTAAACCCAACCTTTATCTTTTTACCATTAACATGGAGAATATCCACCAAAAATATATCCACTCTTAGATTAGAATATCATAAGTAAATTACTCTTTCCATTATATTTATTCCAAAATGAATTATTATCCAATCCATCTGGACTTCCTTTATAAATTAATTGAGATTCATTTATTATTGTTTTCGACCTTTCTTATAAAATAAAGAATAATCGAATCCAAAAATCAACTTTTAATAGTTTTGGTTTTATATTAGAAATTGAAATTTATTATCCATTTATTTTAATTGATCATCTAATTATTGTAATTAATCATCCTTTGATTTTAATTAATCCTCTAATTATTGCAATTAACTATCTTTAGTCCTCTAATTATTTTAATTGATTATGAGTTAACTTGTTATCTAATTATTATTATTATTTAAATTGATTATCGAAGATTTTATTTTTTCCTCTATTTATTTTAATTGATTCTCCTTTTTTCTCTTAGGATTATATTATTCAGTCTGAAGCTATTAAACTAATATTTAATTTAATCAATACTCTATTTTGCTAAATCTTGGATTTATAGTCTTAAATTTTTTATTTCAGTTTTTATTAATGGATGTGCTTTTTACAGTTTTCTATTTTAATCATTTTTTAAACCTTTTAACTCTATATTTCATCGATCAAACTAAAAATTTTTATTCAAACTCTCTCAATAACTAATCATTTTCTTCATTCCATATATTTAACCCTGTTTATAATTTATCCAAAAATAACTGCTAATTTTATGGATTACTAATGTCTTTTGCTATTTTAATTAAATCTTAAACTCTAACCTCATCAATTTTTACATTTTTTGGACATTAAAAAGAGTCTTTAATTTATTTTATTTATTTATTATATTTTGTATTGATCTTAATCAATTTTGATTAAATTAATTGAAACATCTTTCTTTTGCATTCTTCCAGAAAATAAGTTAATTCTAAAGCTTTATCCTGCATTTTTTTTACATAATTATTACAATTATTTTATTTTTAAGTAAGCCATTATTACCATTTTTTTCAGCATTTTCTAAAGTTTCATATTTAGCTGGATAATCACTAATACAAAAAAGACATGCCACTCTATTTGGCTTCTTTGGTTATTCCTGTAAGTCCAATAACATTATTTATTAATTCGGATGCTCCTTACAATTTTAAGATTGTTTATCTCTATAAAGAAGGTGTAATTATTAAAAAATTGAGGAATTATTCTCAATTATATCAAATGAATAAGTCTTAAAGCCATTTTAGATTTTAACTATTATTTGTCTAACTTTATCAATAAATTGATCTTAATAAACAGTTATAATGTTTTTTTAAAGATTTTCTAATGCTCCTTTATGATTTAAATGTTATTTTTAAATCTCACCTAATTATTTTACTAATGAGTCTATATCTTATATCTATTAATCTTCAAGTAATTGTTTAAATTTTTTTTATTATTCTTAGATAATTAATATTTATTATTGAAAGCAGTTTAAATATTTATCAATAGATATTTAAATTAAGATCTTTAAAGATATAAAATTATTCTTAATATTTTCCAACAATTTAGTATTTTACATATTCAGACTTTATTGCTCTTAAATTTAATTTGTTTATCCTGATATGTATTATTATCGAAAATCTTCTACACTCATCAGACTCCTTTATTTTTCAGCAACACATTTTAAGCAAAGATTTCAAAATTCTGGAGACATTAATATTAATGCAATTAATACTCAATCTTTTTTTAATTCAGAAATTTAAAATATAAGTTACCTAAAATGATAGTACG